CCTGAAGAAGAGAACCTGACAACCACCAGCAACTGGTTTTGTAACCAGAGAAGCGGATCCTGGGAGAGCGGAGGCTAGGCTGGCCCTGCCCTAGGCAGACCCCATCTGATGTACTTCCCACCGAGACCGGGAGCGTGAAGCAGCTCTCCACTGCCTGGACACAAGAGCACCGAGGCTGCAGGAGACAAGGGAGGCCAGCTCTTGCCTCTGGTTTTCAAAACCTAAAGCAAAAGGGCACCCTATGGATCTGATCATGGTCCTTAATCAAAATAGGCTCCCACGGAGGGAAGTCGGTTAAGGAGCTGATGGAGAAAACAACCAGACGTGTCCAATCCATCCCTTCTGTGAAACCCCACGTTTCTTCCCGGACACGGGTAAGACTGTTCTCCTAGACCCTTCCCTTACCCAACCCCCCAAACAGCTCTATGAGGCACACCCTGTAAAAGTGTATCTGATGAAACAGATGAGCAGAAACCAAAACAGGCAAGGTCTACTGGGGAGTAAGAGGAAGGAACAGGCAGCAGACTGAGACGTCAGATGCCCGTTAACAAATAAAAATCACTTTCTCTGGAAAATTCTAAACCACTTGTGCAGAGATGGACTTGCGACTCTGCCCTGGAACTGAAAGAAGGCATCTAATAGTTAAACTCATCCGAACAGCCCTGAGACCTTTCCAGTCTTTGCGTTTAATTCCACACGGTTCTTCTTCCACTGCGTGAGGAAGGTTTTTATTTTTATACGAGACAAAGGTCCCCAGGAGTTCAAAGTAGCCTGTTCAAAAAATAATAATAATAATAAAATAAAATAAAAGCCAAGGAGCATCAATATTAATAAAGCTAAAACTAACAAAATATTGAATAACCTTTGTAAAATTAAAAACAATGACTAATTCAATCCAAACAACTGGGTCATGCTCAAATTCCAGTAATTCTAAAACTTAGATATAATAAGGCAAGAATTTCGCTTTGCTTCAGTGGTCAAAATGAAGGACCCATTCAAGAGCAAGACCAGTAACACAGACACAAAGGGGAGGCTGGAAGAACATTTGGAGGTGTGGGGAGCCCAGAGGGGGCAGATTATCATCACATTACTACCTGGAAACTTGACAGAGTATGAGAATGACAAAGAAGAAAAGGTATTTCTCACAAAAGACCAAACAATGATTCAGGGAACATCAGAGGGACTCTCCCAGAGATGACAAAGCCTCAGGTGTGTATGTGTGTGTGGGGGGTGCCTCCCTGCTTAGAAGAGGCAAGTGAACCATCCCACCAAAGACATGTTATGACTTACTCCTACGCCAGTGGAATAAGGCAAAATACACTGAGCACCATCAGACAGGTACACACCAGGTGCAAGGGGCTGAAGAGGGGGCAACCGATACCTGGCAGGAGGTATAGAAAGCTCTTCATGTTGTTACTGAGTGAATGAAAGACAAGGTAGTTAAAGAACACCATACGACTAACTGGGTTTACTGATTTGGATTTGCTTTCTCATTATTCTTAAAAATGACCTTTAAATGAGGTAGGATTTGGGGTGAAAATGCACATGCAGTGCCAAGTTGGACTAAGACACACTCTTCCAATTGAAGAACACACAGCGTTCATTCAGTTGTTGAAGTGGAATATCCAAGCAGTCGAATCTTGCTGCAGGCCAATGTTCCAGCCACCGAGTCTTAGTCAATACATCCACAGTAGTACTGGACTTTTCTAGCTTAAGTATCATACTGATAGACTAGAAAAATTTATAACTCTTCCACACAGAGAAGCATGCTCTCAGACCGGAACACAGAACCAAATGACCAGCAGGCCAAGAGCACAAGGAAAGGAAGCCTCTTTCTAAGGAGGCAGACAGTACAGGGTCCCTGAGAAAGCATTCTCCTGGGGCTCAGCCCAACTGTCTTAAACAAGACAAAAAAAGTAATCTCTTTGACAGCTTGATTAGATCTTTTTTTTTTTTTTTACAAGAGCTTTTAACCAATGGTTGCAGAGTGAGTAGTTTCCAAAACATTTACATTTCCAACACTAAAACAAGAAAAGAGAAATCTAGCATTATACTTACATCAGCCAACTACATTAATGCAGTTCAGGCCAGAAAATTTAAGAGGACAGGGCCAAACTGGCTTCTCGCATAAAAACATTTTAAAAGATAGTAATGCAACTTTGTGTTTCTTCTGGATAATATCAAGGAAGACAGTAACTTGTTATATATTCTTCCTGCAGTGTCCCAAAGTTAAAAAACAAACTAAAAATCCAGTTTTGTTTTGTTTTTTAACTACTGTATATAATATTGTTATAATTTACAGGACTTGATACTTGTAAGTAAATATAAAACTAAATAACCAATTTTTATATTCCTAAATAGTAAAGTGACTTTTTTAAAACAACAGAAGGCTACTACTAGATTCAAGGGATTCTCTTGAATTGTTTTAACATAGTGGTTTAACGAGTGCATTTTTAATGCATACCCTATCTGAACAAACATTATAATTGTTCCCACATCACCTTCTAACTTTTATTATTTTAGATCCTACCAAATCTTTCAAAATTGTGATAATTAGTAACGAATCATGACAATCACAGAAAAACATAAAAGAGGAAGATGTGGTTTTTTTCCTTGTCTTCATAATTTAATAAAAAAGGTACTTAAATCACATGCCCCACTATTCTGAGCCCTTTGCTACTTCAGGGGGGAAAAAATGCCATCCTAAACAAATCAAAAAGATGACATTTCTGATTATAAATATGAAATAAAAATTCTGAAAATGACCAATGATTCAGTCCTAATCAATACATAAGATTTAACAGTTTTTCAACCAAAAATTTTTGTTTCTGTTTTGCAAGTTGAAAAAATTAATCACTTCCTTGTAGCCTGGCCTGCCAACCAGGTGTACCTCAGGTGAAAGGCAGACAGGACAAAAAAATAAAGAGAATGGGCTTGTTCTGCATCTTAGCACAACTTGTTTGTAGAATTTATGACTGTTAAAAGATAAAGAGCGAAGGTTTGGGGGGATAAAACAGCCTCACTGTTTACTTCTCAAAGGCCTTGGAATTCCTCTGTACAAATCCTTACTTGTTCAATAACCCATGTCTTTCCCTTTGTTGTTAACAACATTGGTTTTATTAATGCTTCATCTCTGGATTACAAACTGGTCTTAGGTAGCGCCTTCAAAAAGCTACTCTGTGACAATGTAACTCTCAACCACTTTATGCAAGTTAGCAACACACAAGGAAGTATTTTACTTCCATGAATAAGTTACAATGGTAAATACAAAACAAACTGAAGAGTCCACCAAGTCATGAACTGTGACAAGATGCCAGACAGTCGTACAGAATGAAAGGCTCAGTTGACTGGTAACCCAATATGGTGGCTTTTTTCAAAACGAAGAATTAAACTCAGCCTAGATCTAGGGCAACGGAAAGATGTTACCTTGGGAAATATTGGTATCCGATTCCTTCCTGATACTATTAGGAACTGTATTTTTGTTGGCACTCTGACCAGGACAAAGATCAGAGTGGTGTGTAGTCTTCCATTTTATCACCCCTCAAAGTGCCCAGGGGACAGGGGACCAAGGTAAGCCACTGGCAATGACACAATTGCCATATGGTTTATGCCTAGGACTCTCATAATGCTGTTCACCAAGCTTGTTCCACAAAATGAGTTTAAGAACCCCCCAAAAATGAGAAACAGACACATTCCCAGCTAAACACTTGTTTGAGATTAATTAACAAAGCTAAAAAAAAAAAAAAAAAAAAAATCCCAGAGAAGGAAAAGGCAAAATTATGGAGACAATAAAATGATCAGAGGTTGGCAAGACTGGGAGGGCAAGGGAGGTAGATAAACCAGTGGAGAGGCTCTTCAGGACAGTGAAAATCTTCTTTACGACAAAACAATGGCAGACACATGTCATTATACATTTGGCCAAACCCACAGAATGTACAACACAAAGAGTGAACTCTAAGGTCAACTGGGAACTTTGGGTGATAATGACGTGTCAGTGCAGGTTCATGGATGGGAACCAATGTACCATCCTGGTACAAGGTGCTGATGATGGGGTGGGAGGCTGTGCACGCCTGGGGGCAGGGCGAAATGGAACATCTCCATTCCTTCTGTTCAGTTTTACTATACACCTAAAATTGCTCTGAAAAAAAAAAAAAAGGAAATAAAATCTGACAAAGAAAATAAATCCCAGACAACGAGTCATGAAATTCTCCCACTCGCCTATAATGGTTTCAAAAAGAAAAGTCTGTTGGAAAACCTCCCTAGAGGATTCTTGTCAGCTTTTTGTCCCTTCCATTTCTGCCAGAGCACTCCATCTCTTAACATTTACCAAGAAACAAACTGTATGTCTATAAAGCTCAAAATTGCCAGGAAATACCCAAGGAAACCCCCCTCAGAGATTTCAGCAATCTTTTTCATGCCCCAGAGTGTGTGGAGTGAAACAGCAATCTCAGGATTTAGTCATGCATGGCAGTCTGAAATGTTTGTCTTTACTCATCCACCATTCGCCCACAATTACAGAACATTCTTCTTTGAAATTTCCTAAGAGTGAGCCATCACTGTGACTTGAAGACTGCACTTTGGATTTAAACAAAAGAAAAGGACCGTAGACCCAATCCAGACTCCTCCCTCTGTCTAATCTGCCTGACAGTCAAGGCTTGGCAAGTGACTAATGTCACTCTAGTCCCAGCTTCTGTTCAGCCACCTGAAATTTCCTTCCACAAAATGTGGCTAAACTAAGAGGAGGGGAAAGGAGATGGGAAATGTTTTGATTTTCAAAAGTCTGGGTCTTCCCATTAGGAGAAGATGACACTTGTGAAGGTATTTCGTGTTTCTCAGGTACTCAGTGCCCTTTGCTTGTCCCCAAAACTCCCAATATTTACCCTGCAAAGCTTCCCTAAGGAACCTGTGAGGTTAAGTAAACATTCTGCCAAATTAGCAACAAATATCCCACCAATGCAACTTGCAACACACCACAGAACTGTGACCTTCTCTCCACTTACCTGGGAAAGCGTGTGGATTGGGCGACCCCCTCTTAAGGCACTTAGAACAGAGGATGTGCACGGTGTAGTGCAGTCCAGGCCATTCCTGAAGTAGGACATTCAGTTCCTCTACCAAGGGGGTGATGGCTTGCCATGCGGTCCATATATTTGGTAATGATGCATGGCTGGCAATGGACAGGGTATCTGGTTGCAGAACCCCCTTGGCAGGTCTGTAACTCACCACCACAGGAACTTTTCCTCTATATGCAAAGATCTGAAATTTACCATCTGACCTGTGCACCACATGGCTGTTGATCTGGACACTGTAGCGTGCAAACAACCCAGGTGGAAAGGTAAAGGGAAAACTATATTCAATCTGCAGCTGCTCAGCCACAAAAGACTGCCCCGCTAGGTTGGTCCCATTAATCCATGCCTCTGCATGGGGCACCTCGTTCTGCACATAGCATGGGAACTTGTACCAAGCTGTGGACCCATTCAAAGGCTTGCCCTTGGGTTTATTGAGGCAGTAACAGAGTCCCATCTTCTCCAGCAGCTCCAGCAGCAGCTGCAAGTCCTGCTGAGCCTGGATATGAGGCTTAAGCAGCAACTGAATGACATGGGCTGGCAGGAGCCTATGCAGCAGAAAGCCCTCCACATAGTGATGGAGCTGGGTGGCCCGGAGCAGGTCCTGGCTCTGGGTGGGCAGCGACATCACTGGGGAGCTTTCCCCCTCCCCCTCACTCTCTCCACTGGTCCCTAGTAGCAGTTTATGCAGCAGCAAGGAAGCATCCCTCTGGAAAAAGACATTGAGGATGTCAATGAGGCGGGTGAGGTTGTGGAAGACGTGCTCCTTGAGGGCCGGGCTATCCTCAAAGTAGAGCAGCTTGCCACTCTCATGCAAGTAGGAAAGAGCACTCTGCAGTCGGTCCTCGGTCAGCCCTGCCTGCAGGCCCAGGCGTGCAGAGTCCCACCAGCTTAGCCAAAGTCGTTGTGCCTGTGGTGGTTGGAAATGCAGTTCCTCCAGCACCTGCCAGGATCGCGGCAGGACTCTATGTAAGTTGGGGAAGATTTCTCGGTGCTCAGCTACAGAAAGCAGCTTGTCCCGAAGGCGCTGCAATTGGCGGGGGTCCCTGCAGCTAACAGGCAATACCGGAGAGAGGATCTGCAGCCGGTGGTTGAGCAGGTATTGGAAATGGGCCTTGCGTCGACGAAGGTTCTTGTCAGAAACACCATAGTAGGCTGCATGGGGGCTGGCAGAGCGCAGCTCGAAGTCCCGGGCCAAGGCCTCATCCACCACCCGGGCTAGACGGCTCAGGCCCTCGGCATCGTGCTTCTCCTGCAGGGCAATCTGGCGGTGAATATCCAGACACTTCTCCTCCAGCTCCCGATCCTCACATAGGTCTGCATGCGTGCCCACAATGCACACCACAGCATGAGGTACCCGGGCCCCCACCCGATGCAAGAAGGAGCCCACAGTACTGGGAAAGCGGCGTGGTTCATAGGTGGCCAAGTTGACTACCAGCACATACAGGGCTCCTGGAGAGAGAAAGAAGGGCTGGATCACCTCATAGCTTTCATCACCAGCTAAATCATACACGATGAACCTCAGACCCCTGGAGGCATCAGCTGTCCAGCTGGTCACCTCAATACCCTTGCTACTGGCAGGAGGGGAAGGTGAGTAGTTCTTCTGTTTGTCCCCTCCTGCATGGCTTCCCTCCACTATCTCCTCGGTGAGGCAGTGTCGGAGCAAGGTCTTTCCTGCAGCCTTATGCCCCATCAGGAGCAGCTTGAGACGGGGCTGCACGGCTGGCTGGGAATGAGCCAGCTCCTTCTGGTAGGCCGCGATGTAGGGGATCCCCTTCATGCAGACCTCGTAAGGGGGCTGTATCAGTGGGTTGTCCTTGATCTTCCACAATCCCACATGGGAGAGCTGGCCAAAGTTGTCAGGAAGCACCGCTATCTGGTTCCCTTGCAGCACCAGCTCCTCCAGGCCGGTCAGTTCCACAATGGAGTCGGGCAGGTATCGGATGCGGTTATTATCCAGCCACAGAGTGAGAAGCCTTCCCAGCCCCGAGATAAGGGATGGCACTGAGGTGAGCTGATTGCGACTAAGGTAAAGCTCCTCCAGACCAGCCAGGGGCAGCAGAGCTGCAGGGAACTCCTCAAAGTGGTTGGAAGAGAGATTGAGCATTTTGAGTCTTTGCAGCTGGCTGAACTGGGTGGGCAGATCCTGCAGCCCGTTGTTGTCTAGCATGAGGCTCTCCAAACTGGTCAGCTCGCAGAAGCCGATGGGCAGAGTGCCAAGCTCGGCCCCACTCAGCCAGAGGATCTTGAGGGCACGCAGGGCACTGATATCATCAGGTAGGCCTTTCAGCCGGTTGCTGGACACGTCCAGTTCCTCCAGGGCCGCCAGTTGCAGCAGCTGCCGGGGAAAGGCAGTGAGCTGGTTGTGGTCCACATCGAGGGTGCGCAGGCGGTAGAGGCAAGAGAGTGAGTCGGGCAGGTGCGCCAGTCGGTTGAAGCTAACATCCAGCTCCTCCAGGTGGGCCAGGACGCCCAGCTGGGAGGGCAGAGCAGGCAGCTGGTTATGGCTGAGGTTTAGCTTGCGCAGCTCCCTTAGGGCACTCACCACCTCCGCGCCCAGGGCTGTCAGCCGATTGTGGCTCAAGTCCAGTTCCGTGAGATGGTGGCCAAGCTCGGCCACCGCAGGGGGCAGCCGGGCAAAGCGGTTCCTGCGCAGGACCAGGACGCGTAGGCTGCCAAGCGCCGACCCCAGCCCTTCAGGCACCTCCTCCAGGCCGTTGTTCCCTAGGTTCAGCACCTCGATGTCCCCGATGTTGGCTGGCAGCACTAGCTGGGGAGCGTCTGGGGACTCGAGCGGATCCGCTCCGGCTCCGGCCCCGGGGCAGCCCCCAGCCGCGCTAAGGGTTAGCTGTCGCAGGTTGCTCCTCAGCTTCCTGGCGCGAAGGGCGGCGTCCCGCCACAACCTCACCGTCTTCAGGTTGCCACTGTCCTTCCCAGCCATGGCGGGGCCCGGG